GGCGGGACGGGACGCGGGGCGGGCGGAGGCGGGCGGACCCCCCCAACCCCAGCCCGGGGGCTGCGGAGCCCGCCCGCCCCCGCCCGGGGCAGGCGGGCATCGCCCCCGTGTCCCTGCCGGGCGCGCACGGACGGGCGCCCTCGGTGGGTACCGGAGGGTCGGGACTCCGTCAGCGGCCACCGGAGGAGCCCCTCGCCCACCTCCTCAGGCCCCCCGCGCCGTGCGCTCGGTCGGCAGCCGAAGCATCCCTCCGGTCCGGTCCCTCCTGCCGGGTGTGCCCGCTCCAGCCCCGCACCGCTGGAGCCGCCCCGGGCGGGCTGCGGGCAGAGCGGCGGGCGAGCACCGCAAACCCCCGCACCTCCCGCGCCCCTTCCCGGCTCGGCAGACGGGTGCCGAACCAGGCTGCCCAGGCGCCCGCCTGCCGTTCCCCGAGCAGCCGCCCGTTTGGGGCCGCCGCTGTCCTGCCCTGCAAGCCCCTCTCTGCCTGTGGCACTTCTCCTTGAATGCCGTTTGCCATGTTGTCACCCGCTCGCTCAACACCATGAGACCCTTCTGCAGTGCTTCACAGGCTTTTTTGTTAATTACCTTTAGGCATTACGTACGATGTGCAAACACTGACACCTTACTCTTCATCCCCTTTTCCAAATGCACGGGATCGTCTCCTTGCTGCTCCATAGGTAACTCCATGGTAACCACTCTCCCAATCTTGGCAGGGGGAAATCAACAAAAGCTTTTAAGGAAACTACATTATCAATGCATAAGAAGAGGCTCGTGTGTGTTTCTTACGAAAAGATTGAGAAGCAAGGACTGGGAGGTAGGTTACCATGGATTTGGGGAATTCAAGTACCCTATTAGCTGGCTAATGTCCTCAAGAAAGAATAATAGATTTACAAGCTGTGAATTCCTCCTTTGAAAATCTGACTGACTTCCATTATATTGCTTCCCATTCTATTCTTTATCAGGACTCCAAGCAACTCATTTGCTCTATACAGAAGTTGAACTTGGATATAGCTTTCTGACTCTAAGCTTTTACAAAAATTGCAGTCGCACTTGCTGCCTCCCATCTATATGATCCCAGTGTTCATTCCAGGGTACCCAGCCCCATTGGTAGCTCAGTAACTCCATGCTGCTGCTCCTCCTCCAAAGCCCATAGGGAAATCCTGCCTGATCCTGGCAATCCCTTGCTCTCCATTTCATCAGTATTTTCCAAGAGCATTTTCTCACATTTCTGTTTCAGAGAGTTCTTTAGATTTATCTACCATAGGAAAGGGCAAGGTGTGTGAATTTTCCAGCATTGTCCACGGCAGATCCTGATGTAAAGAAATTAATTTTGGTTTTATGCAATGCCCTTAGAGTTTTTTAGCAGCCACAGAAACCCAACAATCCAGCACACCACTGGCTGTCTTCCTTCTAATGGCCTAGCATTGTCTTCATGACATGTCACACCTTAAAACTTGTCTCATCCCAAATTTATATCCTCTCCTGTTTTCCTTGTTTGATGCAACATGCACCTTCTGAAGCTCGTCTGTTGACATCTGTCTCCTTTACGTGTCTATTTTAAACCTGTTGGCATTTTTTGGCCCTTTATATACTCAGCTATGAACTTTTAAAAAGTATTTCCAGAATGAAGATTGAGAAGATATAGCAAATCTCAGAAGGTCTTCTAGATTTTAAGATCAGAACTTATTCCACACACACACAAAAAATAAGAATGCCCCTCTCTCAGCGTGCCTGTTCACGAAAACATCCCTCATGAAACATAAGCTGTTCCTTGCAGAGTTTGAGAGTTTGTTTGTTTGCACCCAACTGTTTATATACACCTGTCAGTTTTCCTTTCTTTCCCTTTGGATGCTGGTATAGAGCCTCCTTGAAAGCAGGAGGGAAGTGCCTCCAAGCAGCAGTATCATCTGCGAGAGTTTTACTCTCTAAGCTGCGTTTTTGGCCAAGTTTCCTTATTTTTGCATAGCTTATTTCCCAGAAGGCTGTTCCAGAGTTGGTGTTGGGTGAGAGTTGGGAAGCAGTGGGAAACTGTAACATGTGCAACTCGCTCCCTGTGCTGCTCACACTCCAGGAGGGAAATACAAGGTTATTTCTCTTCCTTAGGTACCTGAATAGTTGCTCCGGGGCTATTTTTTTCCCTCTTCAAATACTTTAAGACTCACTCCCTGGCACAATTAACTCAGAGACTGTCCTCTGGCATCTCCTAATCTACAGTGTGATGACCCCACACCACATGCTGTGGGCTTGCCGTGCCCTGTGCTGCATGTCCCCAGCTCTGTGCTGCAGGATGGGACAAAGACTGCTGGGTTTGCACTGCAACACTCTCTGCTTGTGCTGGATTAGCCTCTCCTGAATTAGCTGCTTTATTGCCCTTCCTCCCCTAGGGACACTTACTGTCTCTGATGACAAGATGAGAGTTTCACAGCTGAGTGCAACACTGGAAGAGCCTCAGATGAGACTCCGCTGAGGCTTTTGATAGTCAGAAAAAAGAGCAGAATGGAGGTGAGACCAAGATAACAAACCTACACCACAGAGCTCATGGAAAGCAAGGAGCAAACTTCCAAGGGGCTCTTGTTCTCCAGTGAAATTAATAGCAGGCAGGCTACCCCGTGCTGGAGCAAAGGAAGATGACAGAGGTATCATGGGGCCAATATACACAGCCAATAATCAAACCAGTGATGCTGCTGGTACCAGTTGCAGCTGCAAGAACACCTGCTCTAGTACAACCCTCACTGCCCCAGGAGCAGCACACAGGGGGATCAGATGAAAACAGAAGGTGGGGAGCACAAGTGTCACCCTTGTGTAAGGGGGGCAGATGAAAAAGGCATCTGTGCATACCTGGGTTTTCTTTCTTCTGCAAGAAAAGCAGAGCAGCCCCCTCCTACTCTGTCCCTCACTCCAAGTCAGAGAGAGTAGGAGAAATCACGACTACCTGCTGCCTGTTTGGCAGTTGTCGTGGAACAAGCCTGGCAGCTGTCATGCCACATCCCTGCAGCCGGGGTATCGCTGCACTGTCACGACATGGCAGGACTCTGGCACACCCCCCAGCCTCAGCCCTGCCTGCCCAAGGCTGGAGAGTCCTCAGGCTCCAAACCACATGAGGAGCTTCCTCCCTGGGCAGAAATGAGCTCAGAGGAGCACAACATCTCGTGGAGGGCTTTGGGGACCAGCAATCAACCCCAACAGTGTCGGGAGGTGAGGCAGGGAGGGAGCTCACGTTTGCTCCCGGCTCAGTGGGAAAGTCAGAGCGTTGTTGGGGTGATGGTTCAGAGTCCCTCCTGCTGAGTGTTGAGGGAAGGCTGTTATGGAGTGAACATCCCATGAAGCCAAGAAAAAATAAAATGAGCTTGCAGAGCCCAGTGGGGTGGGAGGCAAACAGCTCTATCAATGCTCGAGAGTGAGCAGTTTATATAAGCAACAGGCTCACCAGCTGGGAGGAGAGCAGCAGCTCAAGGGAGCAGAGCTGGGAGCAGGGGAGACCATTGCCTTTTCCAGAGGGTTTGTCACCAGCGGACAGGACACGCTGGCACCTGGAATTATTTCAGGGGACTGTGGAGATCACAGAATTATAGAATATCCTGAATTGGAAAGGACACACAAGGATCATTGAAATCCAACTCCTGGCCCCGCACAGGACACTCCAACAATCCCACTATGTGCCTGAGAGTGTTCTCCAAATGCTTCTTGGACCCTGGCAGGTTTGGTGCCATGACCACTGCCCTGGGGACCTCACATTGTTCCTTGTGGGAAAGCATCTTCAGCAGCCCAGGCACTGCCACACAGGTGAGACAAGGCAGCCTTTGCACGTGGCCATGTCACAGCTTTGTGTGAGAGGCAATGGACACTCCACTTCTGGCCACCACAGCAAGGTGGAGGGCTTTGGCTGGGTCTGTACAGGAGATGTCAGATCAGTGCTATTGCTACAGGTGTGCCAAGGAGCCTTTCTGGTCCAGACAGACTGGGACAGCCCCAGATTCACGTCTTGTGCTCCTCCCAGGACAGGGATGCTCTGTACCAGTGTTGCTGCAGTCACTCATGCCTGGGCCAACTGAACAGAGTAGACAAACAGAGGTTTAACAGGTATCAAGGAAAGCTATTCCCCTGTGGATTTGTCTCATACTTGAAACCAGATTTTTTCCCCACTGTAGAGGGCAGGAAAAAGGGGTTTCTGTCTTCCAGTCAGTTGCTGATTTTCAAGAAACCTGTCAGATATCATCTTTGGGATTCTCAGATTTAAACAAGTATCGTGTTTCACCCCAAAGCTGAGGGCAGGCCAGCAGGGCAAGCATGCACAGGCAGCACAGCCACCCAGGAAAGCCAGGCTAGGAGAGTGTGAGCCCCCACAAAGCCAGGAGCACTTCCAGCCCAAAGCCCTGGGGCAGAACAAGCTCCAAACCCAGGCCCTGCAGACATGCTGCACCCAGGAAACAGCTACTCCGTGGGGCTGCCATGGGTGCTGACCCACCAGGAGGTGCCAGCAGGATGAGTTTGGGTACAGGAGAGGTGATGGATATCAGCTGTCTGT